CCTGTCCCTGGGATTCTTTTAAAAAAGAAATGCCAATCATCTCAGTCAAATTTAGAAGGAAGAAATTAAGCAAAGGCTCTAGTGGGTGACTTTTAGGAGGGTGAGTCAGTCCTTTTCTTCCCATTTGGTTTGAAAATGCTTGGTTCAGCCAGCGCTCTCTTTTCTATAGCAGTAGGTCCCTTAATCCAAAGAGTCAGGTAAGCGATACAGACCAACTTTGCATTTTAATTTTAACTTAAACATACAAATGTAATTCTTTACCCAACCTTTAAAATTTAGAATCAAGGTCTTTTTATTTTTTAAGTGGTCCTCTGATTGGAATTAGATGTAGTCTTTTTCAAAATGCATCACCCACATTTCTACCTTTCCTTTCTGTAGGGTGAGAACTTAAACAATTGTGATGCAGTCTGTAGGATCCTTCTAGGCCGCTACCTTCCCGCTTTTATAGCTGTCTTGCACACTCATAATTTGAAAGAATTCCAAAGCATTTAGCATGTTTTTCATAAAAAATAACTTTTATTTCTCACTCATAGCTAATTAGTTTGTATTATACTTACTTCAGTTACTAAAACTGGACTAACAAATCCAATGGGCTCTTGCTGGGACTCAGTGGTTAGAACAGAGGGATGCCGGCACAGCAGAGATGCGCCTACTAGCCACACGCAGTTAGAGCGTCCTGGGCACCAGGTAGCATGTTTGCAGAGGGACTTGAGGGCCTTGGTTAATCCAGCCATCCTGGTTATGTCTGTTAGCAGGGCTTCCTTTTCACCTGTTGCATGCTTAGTAATTTTTAATGCGCTACACGTTTATAAATGCTCTTGGTTGCGAACAACTGTCAAATAGCCCTTGTAAGTGTAGCAAACTTTTAAACCTGAAAGGGACTCCAGAGACACCTCAGCTAATTTAAAGCTGAGGAAATAGCAGATGTGTCATATGACTTACACCAGTTCAGTTGATCAGAGAATCCTATGAATTAGATACTAGAAGCCTTGAGGCTTAGAAAGATCAAGTGACATTCCAAAACCTCGAAGCTAATAAGTAGTAGATGTCAGACTTGGAACCCAGTCCTCTGACTCTAAATCCCTTGCTCTTTCTGCTGTTCGTGGGCTCCAGGACTTTGTGATCTTGTTAGGAAGAAAAGCACATAAAAGATAACTGCCTCCCCCAGCCCCACTGTGATACGTGCTCTGACAGACATTGGTAGAGGGTGTGGGGCATCACAGAACAGAGGCAGAAAGTAAGACTTTCCAGGGAAAGTGACTTGGCTGTGAGTCCTGACAGGTGTTTGCCTGGTGAAGAAGGTGAGGAAGGGCATTTCATGCAAGAAGGATAAGCATGAACAAGGGCAAGGATGGTGAATCAGGGTGGTGAGAATCTCAGAGACAATGTTGGAGTGACCAGCAAGGCTGAGAGCATGGAAAATCTTGTCTGTCATGTTAAAGGGCTCCAAAGGGGAGCTGCTCTAGGATTTCCAGCACTAAAGGTCATGAGTAACATTGTATTTGTATTTTAGATATAAAACTCTTGTGGCTGAATAGAGGATAGAACTGGCTGAGAGGAGACGGGAGAGTGTCCTGTGTTCCCTAGACAAGGACAGCAGAGATGGAGAGAAAGGTTGTATTTGAGATTGGATAGGTAAACCCAACAGAGCTCAGTGCTGGATTGGAATATGGGAGGTGAGGGAAAGGGATCAGTCAAGGGTATTCCCCAGTTTGTGGCCACACCAGAGGCCAGCACAGCTGTGTGGATTTGTGCTTCCATTCCAAGATAGGAAGCACAGGTTGGGGGTGGGGGTGGGAGCCACGATGAGTTAATTTGGGGCATGTTGAGTTTGAATCTCTCGTCTAAGTGGAGACATTCGGGAGGTAGTAGGATATATGAGTCTGGTGCTTGGGAGCTAGAAGAGAAAAACATTTGCAAGTGCTTAGCATACACTCAGTAGAATGGTTGAAAGAGCCAGGCCGGATATAAGACAAGAAGGTGGAGGAGACAGAACTTGGGAGAATGCCAGTACTTAAGGAGTGGGCAGAGAAAAGAGTTATGGAATCAGTAAAATTAAGGAAGCTGAGAAAGGGGAGGGCTGATAACTGGACTATGAGGTTGAGAGCAGACCACTCAGTTTAGCAATGTAGAGGACACAGGGAACCTTTAATTTCGGTGGAGTGGTAGGGACAAAAGCCTGCCTGTTTGAGAGAGAAAATGAATTTGTTCTCTCTACCCAAAGGTGGGACCTACATAGGCCCAGCCCCTTGAATTGGTGCAGAGTGAGCTCATGAATATTTGAGGCAGATGATAGAGGTCACCGTTTTCCACCTGCAGCTAGGTCCCTATGAGCAGCAGGTCCCTAATAAGTAGTGGATGTAGGACTTGGAAGCCCGTCCTCTGACCCTAAATCCCTTGCTCTTTCTGCTGTTTGTGGGCTCTAGGACTTTGTGATCTCATTAGGAAGAAAAGCACATAAAAGATAACTGCCCCCTCACTGTGATATGTGCTGTGACAGACATTGGTAGAGGGTGTGGGGCATCACACACAGCAATGGTCTCAGTGGAGAGGGGTAGAGGACCCCCTCCCCACTGCCCCCAAACACACACACCCTCTTTTATTATTTTCATTGGGGAAAAAATTGAAGGCTCATGGAGACATCCAATTGCAACGTTTTACTTTATTTGGGACAATGATAAGACAGCTTTCTCCCTCCCTAAAATGTATAAGACATACATTTATTGAAAGAATGAGTAAACAAGCTTAATTTCTTAAACTGAAGGGCTTCTGGAAAAAACTTTAGACATAGCACACTTACCAAACAAAAGAAACTTTCAACCAAGAAACTTTAGATATTTAATTACACATTTGTAGCCTGGGCCCTCTACTTCTTAACTCACCAGCTCCCAGCACAGTGCACAAGCTCGTTGTTAGATAGTGTCCACAGAGTCTGGACTCACTCGAGGACACTTTCCGAGGACCTCTGTCAACACCTGAGATTTTCCTTGTTAGCTGGTGACAACCACGTGAATTGCAGCTGTGGGTTCAGGAGTAAATAAATGCAGATCTGCTGTTGCAAAAATCTTGCTTTCTTTTTCCATAGTAAATCATAAAGATACCACTTTATTTTTAATATTAAGTCTGAGGTGAAAAAAGGAAATTTGCCATTATAAATTTGAGAACAGATTTTCAGGGAAGTTAGGAGGACCTTTTCCCACTATTCCCAGCCCCAGTTCACACTCTGTTGGAAAGAAGGTGAGTATGGTTCCATCTAGAAGTACAAAATGGAAAAGATAACTGATGGTTACTTCCTAGTTGTAGTTTTATGGAAAACTAAGGAACCAACACAGCAGGGAGATCAGTGTTCTCTTTTCCCACTTTGAGAAGTTATGGTGCTTGGTTTCTAGGGACCTGGGTTTGAATCCCAGTTCTGCTATTTTCTTCTATTTTTTTTGTGGCCATCATCTCTCTGAGTCTTAATTTTCTTACGGCTCAAAGAGCATATAATCATGTCTGCCTATAGGGTTATTCTGAAGCTTTAATGAGATCATGTACACAGAAGGACCAACAGAATGCATAATTAAATACTAGGTTCTCTCCCCATCCAGGGCAAGGACGAGCAGTGGGAGGAGGTGCAAGGCTCTTCTCCAGCTGAAAGGACAATCCAGCAGGAGGGAAGAGGCAGTCAAGGGCATGGGCTCAGGGATGAGGCGAGCCCAGGGTTATCTTACCACAAACTGGAGCAAGTTACTTGACTTTCAGTTTTCTCTTCTTTAAAAGATAATGAACATGTACTGAAAATTCTATGGAAGGACACATGTTTTAAGGAGGAGATGGCCCAGATGGGGGCCAAGATGGGAGATACTTTTTGCTTCATATCTTCATGCATTTTCATTTTTAAACATGTGGATATGTGTCCAATTAAAAGAATAAATGATAAAAGAAGACAAATGATGATAGTTTATACCTTACAGGATATACAGGCCTAACAGATGGCAGTTACCCACATAACCTGCAGTTACTGTTATTAATAGAAGGATGATGGCTGAGACATCTGCAGTGTATTTTACCTTTAAATACCCAGGAATCTCTTCATTGTGTATCTAGATGGAGGCCCTACAAGCACCAGCCTTACATTACATTTATAATCAATGGTATGAATTTAGGTCTTTGGAAGCAATCTTGTAAATGGGTGGAATGAATAAATGAATGTCACTTGCAAATTACATTGTAAAATGTATTTGTTTTTAAGTTTTAACACATTTTAGAGAATTAAATTATTGATAATGATGCCTGGCATATATATAAAATACATGTGTGTGTGTATATCTACATATATATATGTATATATATATATATATACATACACCCTTCACCTAGATTCACTAGTTGTTAATGTGTTTGCCACATTTGTGTTCTTTATACATACACACAGAGGCACATATTTACATACATATATTTTTTTGCTGAACTATTTGAAAGTTACTTGCAGATATGATACTTATCTCTAACCACTTCAACATGTGTTTTCTTACTATAAGGACATGCCCCTAGATAACCACAATACAGTAATCAAACTCAGAAAATTTGACCATGACATAAGACTATTATTGAATGTACAATCCATATTCAAATGTCCCCCAGTGTCCTAGTAAATGTTTTTTTATAGCTGCTTACTATTTGATCCAGAATCCTATGTAAGATCTTCGTTTTACTTGGTTGTCTGCTTTAGATTATTTAAAGTAGACTTGTGTTGTCTTTCAAGATGTCAACATTTTTGAAGATTCTAGGTCAAGTTCTGCCCCAATGTCCTTCAACATGTGTCTGTCTGTTCCCTTATAATTAGACTCAGGTTGAATGTTTTTGGGAGAAACATGTAACAGGTGATATTCCAGAACTACCCTTTATACAACTTTATCCTTCTCTTTTAAATGTGGGAAGGCAGGAATAATTTTAAAAAATTCTAATGTTCTTATTTTCAAATATCCAGCAAGTCAGTTACTGATAAGTGACTCTAGTCATGATTGAGGCAGTGGGCTATTTGTACAGATCATTTGATTTAAGGGCAACCTACCTGGGATCTTCTCATTCATCAGCCTATGTAATCCTGCAGTGAGTTTCTGTTCTCTGTCTTAAAAAGAAGTAAGTTCTGGTTAGATGTATGACCTCTTGACATTTTTGATCTTTTGTAGCCTTCTGAGGGAAATTGAATGGATCCAGGCTAGGGGATGTTGGCCTCAAGGCATGAGCCAGCAATATTTTGAGAGTTCTAGGAATGGCGCCTTATTGTGGGAGCATTTGCTTAAGCTACTACAGTGTTCAGAGCTCTAATAGGGTGAACTCTGCAATGTGCATGAACGCAGATAAGCTTTGGAGGGCTAAAAGCATAGACGTGGCACCTCATCCAGTTTCAAAATGGGCTTCGGAAAAGGGAAAAAGTTCTTGAGACCCATTATTTCCATTTCTTTTGAGGAAAAGACCCCACAGAAGACACAAAATAATGTTGAAATAAGGAATGGCTTAGAAAAAGAATCATCAGAGAAGAAGAAAGATTATTCCAAGATCTTATGTTTTAGTAAAATGGATGGTGTAGTAAAGCTTTCACAGCAAAGGATTTTGTCTGGTGAAAGCGAGCATGGAAAAGGCCAAATCACCATAATTTTCCGGCATTCTATGCTAAGGTCTCTTAGCACAAATAATCCCTGGGAATCCATACCTTAATTTATATCAGAAAAGTGACTTTTTCATAGTCTAGATAACAGTTCAATCTCTCAGAAGTGGTTTTTGCAGAGATCTTATTTTGATACAAAACTATTGAAGACCTCAAATGATACTAATAAAGAATAAAAATCATCTATGGGCTCTTTGGTGTCTTTTTTTCTACTTGTCTTTATTTAGAACTCTGTGATAAATAAAGGTCTGATGATAATAAAGGTCTAGGGATTTGACTTTTTAGCTCCTTAAAATATTGTAATAGATTATAGTTACAAAAAACAATTTTTAAGTGATTCAGATTCTATGGTAGGTAGAAAATTGTTGATCCCACAGAGTTCCAGATCTAAAACACTGAAGCAATGTTATTAAAGTGATTGTGTTACTTTTACGTTGCTATAGTTTATGTATTTTGAACTTATGAATTAATTTTCCAGGTTAAAAAAATTACAATTGCTACACCAAAACTTTTTTATGAAACATGAATAAGAAAAACTATAAATTGAAATAAACTAAAACCATAAAGTAACTTTGAAGTACTAGAGTTCATGGATTTGATATCATATATGTTTTAAACATTTTAATTGCCTCTCATTTTATCAGTGATTTGTTGCCCATTAACTATCAAGAGTCACTAGTTGGCTACCTTCTTCCCTGTCACCCAACTAAATCCTATATACTATGTTAGGAAGCCAAATGGAAGAATGGGCTCAGCCGTGTGACCATAGGACAGTTGTTTTACGTAGCTTCAGTCGCATTACTCATAAAATGGGAGAAATTATGGCACCTACTTTCAGGATTACTGAGAAGACTGCATGAGATAATGCAAACCATCAATAAATAGTAGTTATCATCTGTCACTGTCCAACCCAGAGGCCACCTTTTTCCATGAAGCATCTTCTGACCTCTCCAGCCCACGCTTAAAACATACACTAATGCTTTGGTTTATTTGTGTGAAATCAGGCCCCACCTTATTTCACATCTGGTGTTACGGTCTTTCAGGCACAGTGTCAGCCTTGAGGGTTACTCCCCTACTCTACCCAGCACCCTGCTCAACGGCGACACAGCAACCAACGTCTGGGAAGTCCTCCAAGTTCAGTGACTCTCAGCTGGCCCGTATCAGTCTTTCCTGCAATTGTAGGAGCCGAGACTTGACTCAGTCACGCAGAAATGTCCCATGGTGGGGGTTACAGTTTTTTTTTCTTTACCACAATGCACAGAATAGGTGCAGCCTAGCAGGTCTGAGAGGAGACGTGTGCAGCACCAGTGAGCGTGGGCAGGAGCAGGAGCTGGGTGGAGGTGTCCCGAGGGCTTCCCTCGCGAGGGGCACTAGCCTTCTAGGCTGTGCAGCCGGGAGTGCCCTTCAAAGGCCGCAGCCCCACGCGCGCGGCCCTGGCCCAGCTGCCTCCTCATGGGCGTCCCTGGAAGGATCCAAGCTGGCGATCCGGGGACGTCCCAGACCTGCCCCCGCGGTCCGGGGGAAATCGAGAATTCAGAGGCTACTAATGCCGAGAGAGTCACTTCCTGAAGTCGGGGACAGCAGTACATGGGCCGCGCTGCCACAGTCGCGGGAAGGCCACAGACCGCGGGAGGAAGGTGCTGCGGGGCTCGGCGGGCGGCGCCGGGGTCACGTCTTGTGGCGCAGGGCCCGCGACGAGCCATTCCTGTCCATGTGGCGTCGGCCTGACTGGGCCCGCACCACGGCAGTGCCACCTCCCCACGCCGCAGGGTCCTAAGTGACTGCAACAGGGGAGGCGCGCGGTCCCTGCCCCCGGCCCCAGCCCACAGCGTGGCGGGTCCAGGTTCGGCCTGGACCCCAGCCCGGTCCGCCTTGGCCCCGCCCACAGCCCCCCTTCCCCGCCCAGGCCCCGTCCCCGCGGCTGCTGGAGGGCCGGCCCTCGCCGCCACGTGTTCCGACGCAGGGAGCCGCCGGGCGGCCGGGCTGAGCGCGGGCTGATCCAGGGCCTCCCGGCGCCACTCACTGCTGGGCGGCGGCGAGCATGGCCACGGCGGCGGCGGCGGCGGCGGCGGCGGCGGCGCGCGGGGCCCGGGCGAGGGCGGCGGCTGCCCTGCTGGGCGGCTGCGGGGCTGCGGGCCGGGGACGGCTGCGCGCGGTCTCCGCACGGCCCCTGTGCACGGCACCTGGGACCGCCGCGGACATGAAAAGCTACCTGTGGGAGCGCTACCGGGAGGCGAAGAGGAGCACGGACGGTGAGTGCGGCGCTGCCGCCGGAGCCCCTGGCCCTGGGGGCCCCTCCCCGCCGGGCTGGTGCGTCAGGTCCCCTCCCAAGCGGCAGCGGTGAGCGGCACCCTCGGACCCGCGCCGGTACCGCTGCGGACCTCCAGGGCACCCCAGTGCTCAGCCTCGCCGCCCCCAGTTCCAGCCGCGCGCGACAGTGCCTCTGCAGTGAGATTCAGGGAAACGCGGAAAAATGCGCTTCCAGGAACTTTACAACTCTTGCCTTTCTTCGGTCGGGAAAGACATTTTATAAACTCTTGGGAGTTTTAGCCAGAAATTTGCATCGGAACCGCCTTGGGCTTTTCTGGAGGTTCCACAGACATCGCTTGGGAGACCGTCAACCCCCCCCACGCACCGTTAGGTATTGTTAATGACGAACAGTAATGGTAATAGCTGGCATCCGGCAGGCGGCGAGTTTCCCTGCAGCCGAGCTGCTGGACAGGTGGCAGTGTCGGAGGCCGATCTAGTTTTCTTTTTTTAGGGGATAGGGTAGGATTCGCTGTTTGAAATAGGTTGAGTGCTCAGGGATTCCCGGGAGGGACTAGGATGAGTGACTGGAGTGTGGCCAGGTGAATATAAAATCATCTCGTTTTGATTGTTAGTAAGGAAAAAGGAAAAGGCAGAAAGGGGACCGAGTAAATACTAGTGCCAGGCAGATAGACTGTTTCCCTGAATTCTCCCCATACCTAGGAGGTAGGTGCCCCATCCCCATCCTAGATATGGGAAAGGCGAGACTCAAGTTTAAGGAACCCGCCAAGATCACACCTTGACCTCAGGTCTGTCTCAGCCCCGGACCCGTTGTCCTGGTTCTTGGGCTGCCCAGCAGTCCAGCCGCAGCTGACCATTTGGGAACTGCTGTCAAGGGGTAGTGATAACCCATTGGTGCTCCTTCTTTTAAGGAAGATTTAGAATAGAAGTTTTTACACTTTTTCGGGAGGTCGTGGAAGTGGCTCATAGAGGTAGAAGAGAGAATATTTGGTGGGAGAGAACATTTTGTAGGATCACATTTTCCCTCTTTGGGCCAGAAGTCAGTTTAGTGAGAGAGAGCAAGAGGCTTATTCCCACCAATTGGGATAATTTTCTGCAAGAACTCTTAAGTGGCTAGCTAGCAGCGCTGAATTCTATGAAATAGGGATTATTTGCTCAGTTTCCCTTTGTTCAGAGTTTAATTGTTGCATCAGTTTTTGAAGTGGTTGTATGATGGTGGAAAGAAGACTGGCTTTGGAGACATTGGAAATTGCAGATCTCAGATGAAGGAAATATGTATCACCTAGCTTAGCCTTTAGGCAGGCAAGACTTTTTTTTTAATTGAAGATTTTGATTGCGTATTTACATGCAGTTGTAAGAATTAATACAGGTTTCTCCCAATGGTAATATTTCACACAACAGTCATACAGTATCACAATGAGTATATTGATATTGATACATTTCACAGATCTTATTCAGGGTCCCCTAGTTTTACCTGTACCTCTGTGTGTGTATTTTGTTGTATACGGTTTTATCACATGTAGGTTAGTGTATCTAACACCACAGTCAAGATACAGAACAGTTAATTTCAAGGATCCCTCATATTGTTTTTATAACCATATCCACCTCCCTCCTAATGTTGTTTAATCTCTGGGGCATTATCTATTCTCCATTTCCAAAATCTTGTTATTTCAAAAGTGTCATAGAGATGGAATCATACAGTATGTGTGTAACCTTTTGAAATAGGCTTTTTTTTCACAGAGCATATTCCCTGGAGATCACCCAAATTGTGTATATTGTATCAATAGTATGTTTCTTCTTATTGCTGAGTAGCATTGTGCTCTTAACTACATTTCACTCCTGGAAGGATATCTGGGTTGCTTCCAGTTTTCTACTATTACAAATAAAGCTGCTGTAAATATTTGTCTACAGGTTCTTGGGTGGACATACCTTTTAATATCTCTAAATGCCCTTGCTTGGTTGAATGGTAATTGCATGTTTAGTTTTACAAGAAAGCTCGGGCAAATTTTTTTGCCATTCCAATGTGATGGACGAGCTTTCCCATTTGCAAGCTATGAGGCCCTGGGGATATTGTGATGTTTCTGTTTCCTTGTCTGTAAATGCAGATGTTGGTCTGGAATGAATGAGTCCATCCATGAAAGGCATTTTAGAGCAGTGCCTGGTGAGTGAGACAGCTGAAGCATTTGGTGATAAAGATGAGCACTGGGCTTGCAGTTTACTGTGTGATAATCAGAGGGGGATTTTGGAGCAGGACAGCTCAAGGGTAGTTTTTGAGACGTATTAGTTCTGTGATGGTCGTGTTAATTCCTCTGTGACCTCAGTTTCCTCAGTAGTAATCTGAGGATAACATGAGGGGGTGTTTAGCATGGGCATGGCACCCAGCAGATGCTCAGTAGATAGTAGCTGTTATTATTAGTTATTAAATAACTCTCAGTCTTAGACACATCCTCAGGAAAGGTTAGTGGTTAGTTAGCTCTAGAATCTAGGCCTCCATCAGCATAGGGCAGCACCAAACTAGCTGTGTGGCCTTGAACTGCCTCCTGATCTCTCTAGCTTCAGTTTCTGTCTCAGTAGAATGAGGCCACTGGACTAAATAATGTCTAAAGCTCTTTAGGTCATACAGGTCTGTGAATCAGTTACTCAGTGTGGCCCATCCTGTCTTCCCGCCCCCAGCACATGCTCACGTGGCCCCCATCTCACCCCTAAGAACACAGGGACTTTGATTTGTCTTTTCCTTTTTCACCCTGTCTGGGGCCACACCAACCCTACCCGCCGTTAGCTGAAGTCTGTAGGAATCTCCATGTGCAACTTGTCTTCCCTTCACCAAGCATTTATTAAGCACCTAGTAATGGCTTTAAAGGCTGTTGGTTCACAGATGGATGAGTCTGAGAGGGAGGAGCCCGCAGTGGCCGAGCCCTGTGTTGCATTGATGGGGAGCCTTGTAAACAGAGACAAGATAGTCCAGCTGGCCCCAGGGCCCTGACACCAGAGCAGGTAACTGCTCAGGGATGCAGGGGTTACAGGAAATGCTTGCCACATTCAAGGCTGACACTAACTTTTGTCTGTGGGAATGAGAGGTCAGAAGAAACAATGATATTCATACGAAAACATACAGATTTTAATTTTTTCAGTTTACGTGAGGATAAATGAATTCCCCCCCCTCCCCCCATCACTTACTGATTAGTTCTTTCTGGTTGTTGGATCTCTTGCCTAAACCAAACCATCTGTTCAAGGACCCCTGTGCAGGGTCTCCCAGAATGAAGCCTGCTCAGGGAAGAGAGGTTTTTGCTACTTGTTTTATCCTTTCTCTCTCACCTCCCTTTTGTTCATTTAATTTCTAAGAAGTGTTTTTTTTTTTTTTAAATAAGCTTTATTTTTTAGGTCAGTTTTAGATTTACAGAAAAACTGCATGGTTTCTATAAACCCTTGACTGTGGTACATTTGTCATAATTAATGAGCCAATATTGACACACCGTCAGTATGTATCAATATTAACTAGAGTCCATATTTAACTTAGATTTCCCTAGTGTTTAACCTAATACCCTTTTCTGCTCCAGGATTCTGTGCAGAATTGTGCACTGCGTTGAGTCTTCGTGTCTCCTTGGGCTCCTGTCGACTCTGACAGTTTCTCAGAGTTGCCCTGTTTGTAACCTTGACAGGTTTGAGGAGTACTGGTCACATCCTCTGTAAACTATCCCTTAATTGGAATTTCTCTTTTCTTTAACTTGAGTTTTTGGAAGTGTAGTATTTATGCATCCTGTATCAAATTCAGCTCAAAGGAAAGGTTCTTTGTGTTTTTAGGGAAAGAAATATTGGGTTATAACCTCTAGCAACAATTTCCCAAAGACCTGTGGGTCTCAACTGGAGTTGGGGAATGGCAGTTTTGCCCCCCAGGGAACATTTGGTGATGTCTGGAGAACTATCTAGTTATCACCCTTTGAGAGGAAGGGGCGCTGCTGGCCTCTAGCGGTGAAGGGACGCTGCTGAATATACTACAATGTGTAGAACAGCCATCCCACAACAAAGAATAATCCAGTCCCCAACCCTGTCCTAAAATCACTGTGCGGTTGTAACTGAAAGGGATGGATACGATCTGTTACCTCCTGTTGCGCTCTGTGTTGTGTGCATGGCTGCTTTTCCAAGGAGAATTGCTCCAACCACACATCTGCATCGCCAAGTGGATTTTTCCCACCTTTAGAAGTCATCTAGAGCCGGGTCTGTGTAGACTGTTTGGCTACTTAGCTGGGGCTATGAACATATTAACTGTGGAAAGAAGTATGGGGATTAGTGTGAAGTGTTAGGAGAGCTTTTACAGGGTGTTGAAGGATTTATTTGAAGTTCTTGGTTGGGAGCATTTAATATTCAATCAGTATAAGGAGTGTGTGTAACACAACAACATGAGCTTATTAGTGTGTATAGAATAAGTATAAAACGCGAACCCTTCCCTTGGGGGACTGCAGTGGGTTAAGGAGACACTTGTGAGAGAATTTTAAGATGAGACCAGTGCTTCTCAGACTGTGTTCTGAGAGACATGGTTAAAGAAATGTTGAAAGTCTATGTTAAAGGAGCCTCTTTACAGGTAGGCTTATCAGAGCTAGTGATCAAAGCCTTTAAAATGCATGAATCTCCAAGAGGTCTATGAATCTTCATGTACGTATAGTAGTCCCCTGATAAATTTGACCACAGAGCCCCTTTTTTGAGGTAATAGCTCAAAGCAGAGGTCCTATAGACTATACTCTGGGAGGTTCCGATAATGTGTGTAACACAAGAATGTATGCTAATAATACCCAAAGGTACTTAATTATGCAGCCTTCTGTGATTTCTTTGTAGCAGGGATATAGAATAAAGGAGTTAGGACCTTTGGGAATCTGGAGAAAGCTGTGTGTCCTGTCTTTAGACAAATGTGCGGATTTGCACAGTTATACAACAAGCAGACATGTGTATACTTTCTGGGGGTTGCTGGAGCATGTCCGTCTCATCTGGTGAACCCCGTGCTCATTTAGCCCTCTGTTCGCCTTCAAGAGTGTGAAGGACTGGCACGTGAAGGGATGTTCATGGAGGTAAAACTCAGCTGCGGACTGTTTTCTGGATTAAAATTTGCACATGAGATCAATAAGTCGTCCTGGCACAATAACATGTCTTTGGCCTGACTTGAGTTTGAATGTTGAGGTTTTCTGTATCTGTTGTGGAGGTGGCCAGGTGGAACAGCAGCAAGAATGAAGGGTTGAAATCTAGAATTCGTTGTCCTCTCACTAGGGCATCCTGGGTAGCTTAACTAGGGAGCGAAAGGACATACAATGTCAGAAGGAGATTAAATGAGAATTCTGTTGCCAGCCTTTGAAGGAAAGTTGAGCTTTAAAATTTCAGTAGTTT